CAGTCATTAATCCAGTCTTCAGTCTTGGGTTACTTTTATGGATAGAAAGTTGAAAAGACCAGCATTTATTTATTTATTTTTTTTGTAAAAATGTAAGTCTTTTCTGTCAGTTTTCATCAATTTAAAGAATCCTTGCATAATAAAATTCTTTTTTTTTTATTTTTTATAATTCTTACTGAACCTAAACCTTTAGTTTACCTTTTATATTATTTACCTAGAAAAGCAAAGGTTGTCAAGACGAACCTTGAATGTTTTGAAAATACTTTTAAAAGCATTTATGTTGAAGGGACAGAAAGAGCAATAGACGGAGAGAGAGAGAGAGACTGCACTACACTTGATTTTGTAACCTTATTATAGTTATGGATATATTGTACTTGGAATAGTCAAACCATTATTTGTGGGGTGTCCAGATACTTTTAGCCATATAGGCTTCTGATGCATTTAGGTAAATGAGAAAGGAGTAAAGGAAGATGCCTCAATGCCCACTTAGACACGCATATTCTCACCGCTCACAAGAACATCTGAATTTAGTCGACTGTGAAACTCATCACTCGGACATTATTGACTGAAACTGCCTCCCTAATATAATGTGGTTTGTGCAAAGCTAATTATTATTTCTTTGAGCGTACTGATGCGCATGTGAGAAAATTTCATTTCACTATGTTACACCCGCACCAAGAAAATGATTTACATTATTAGATAAATATGCTAATCTAATCTCATCCGCTCCCTGTGGTTCTTCCATAACTTCATTTTCCCAGGAGGAATTGCATTGCAGTCAGGATGAGTTGAACTGGGCACAGAGTACGAGTGGAGCTAGCTCTTATTTTGTCTTCATAAAGAAATAAACGCATGAATTTGTGCTCTGAGACCTCAGCTTTGCTCTTCAAATTAAACTTGATGTTGACTGTGCCATCAAGCACCACTTCTGTAACAATATTGTAAAATCATATTACAATTAAAAATAATTTTCTATTTTTATATATTTTAAAATGTAATGTATTGTAATGTAACTGATACATTTTTTCAGGATTCTTTGAATAGAAAGATCAAAAGAAGAGCCTTTATTAGAAATATAAATGTATGTAACAATGTGATCAATTAAATGCATCCTTGCTACATGAAAATATTATTAAAAAAATTTAAATGCTCCAAATGGTTGTGTTTGATGCATACAAATCATTGAATTTTTGTGTTATGAATCGATTCATTGTTTGAATTATTCACAAAAGTTAATTTTAGCGCTAATTTTAAACTTTTTCCACTGAAGTTTAAATCAGAGACACTATTAAAACATCTGTCTTAATATTTTCATAAGGATGGATCACTAAACTAAACTTCAGATAATATTTGCTGGTGGCAGTTTTTTCTTGTTCTGTTATAATTGTATTCGTTTTTAAATGTTATATTCTTAATCTGAGGATTTATGCTGTCAGTGTGCTAAAACTCTTTGAAGATGCAGGTGATATATATCTCTTTTTTTTTTTTTTACAAAGATTCTGTTTCTGAATTCATCCTCTTCACAACTAGAGCCATCAAGCACCACTTCTGTAACAATATTGTAAAATCATATTACAATTAAAAATAATTTTCTATTTTTATATATTTTAAAATGTAATGTATTGTAATGTAACTGATACATTTTTTCAGGATTCTTTGAATAGAAAGATCAAAAGAAGAGCCTTTATTAGAAATATAAATGTATGTAACAATGTGATCAATTAAATGCATCCTTGCTACATGAAAATATTATAAAAAAATGTAAATGCTCCAAATGGTTGTGTTTGATGCACACAAATTTTTGCGTTATGAATCGATTCATTGTTTGAATTATTCACAAAAGTTAATTTTAGCGCTAATTTTAAACTTTTTCCACTGAAGTTTAAATCAGAGACACTATTAAAACATCTGTCTTAATATTTTCATAAGGATGGATCACTAAACTAGCCTAATGATTGTCTGTAGGTAGTGTAATGAGCAGATTAGAGTGCATTAAAATAATCTTGATATTCCCAATGTGTTGTTTATTTTACACCAGTGCCTTTACCAAACCTCTGTGAGTATTTTGCTGTGTGAACAAGAGGAAGCCAGGGCTTTATGAGCAGTGAATGAAAAGCCCTGTGGGCACAGTAGTCTTCCGGGGTAGCGAGGAGATGAGACAGACTGTGTTTCCCATGAGGCTGTGCTATCTCTAGCAGTCAGCCAAACAGTTAGAATGGGTCATTCAGTTTATTCAGACACATGCTGACAAAGCCAGGAACGCACGCTCACAAATAAACACTGTTCAAACAAACCCACTCTGTCACATACATTTCCCTAGTCACAGACCAACAAGCCTTGTGGTGTTGGGTTAAGCTCTGGCCTTAAATAGGACTTTTTTTCTCCTGACAGTCTCAGATCCAATATGGCTTTCACAGATGAGGACTAGGCCTCAATTTGCAGAGCCACAATGGCTGTATGCTGATGAAGAGATATCTCAAATGAGATTCACAGCTGTCTTTTTCCCATTCCTTCAGAGAAGGCCGTACAATAGTGAAATCCAGTGAGAGACATGGCATTCACTCTTATGATTATAGATAGAGTTCAGGCAACAATGGGCTGCAGACACTGATTCGAGGTGTCAGAGAAGGTGAGAAGGTCTTCATAAATCTTCTTTTATACTCTGAAAATTACTCAAAAGACTGAAGAATGAGAGTGAGAGAAATCAGTCTGGCTGCTATTGATTTGTAGTTGGGTTCCCAGACATTTAGAGATGTATAATTTATGGAGCTGTCTTGGGAAAGCTGTGTGATCTGGGATGAAACTTGAAAATGTTTCAATGGGCTTCGGTTTTGGTTAACAATAAGGCTAGCAGAGATGTCTTACTGAATGTGTGTTTGTGTGATGGGGCTTGTCAAGAAAAAAGAAACTCCATGTAGAAAGCATAATTTTATAGCAAGAAAAGAAGATGAAAATGTTACTAATCTAAATAGTTTTGCATATTTTTTTATCTGTATTTATTTATGAAAACTCATTGTTCTCTTCATTGTACATCACATGACATTTATGGCATTTGTTTGTCTTCTAATCATTTTGTTTTTTGGAGTTAAGTGAATGGTCCAACAATTATTTAAAAAAAAAAAAGATTAATCAATTCTTGTGTTATTATAATTGATTGTATTATTGTAAATGTTTAAGTTTTTTCATATGGTTTATTTAAATATGGCATTGGTGGTAAATTTTTTTAATATTTGTGTAAAAGTTTTACATTGATAATTACAATTTACAAAAATGTTATCATTTATTTAGTCAGACTTATTTTTTGTTGTTTTATTTTGAAAAAATTTGAAAGAAAGAAATTACTTTTTATTAAATTGTTAAATTTATTAAATTGTTTCAATGGGCTTCGGTTTTGGTTAACAATAAGGCTAGCGGAGATGTCTTACTGAATGTGTGTTTGTGTGATGGGGCTTGTCAAGAAAAAAGAAACTCCATGTAGAAAGCATAATTTTATAGCAAGAAAAGAAGATGAAAATGTTACTAATCTAAATAGTTTTGCATATTTTTTTATCTGTATTTATTTATGAAAACTCATTGTTCTCTTCATTGTACATCACATGACATTTATGGCATTTGTTTGTCTTCTAATCATTTTGTTTTTTGGAGTTAAGTGAATGGTCCAACAATTATTTAAAAAAAAAAATAGTGTTATTATAATTGATTGTATTATTGTAAATGTTTAAGTTTTTTCATATGGTTTATTTAAATATGGCATTGGTGGTACATTTTTTTAATATTTGTGTAAAAGTTTTACATTGATAATTACAATTTACAAAAATGTTATCATTTATTTAGTCAGACTTATTTTTTGTTGTTTTATTTTGAAAAAATTTGAAAGAAAGAAATTACTTTTTATTCAAGATGTTAAATTGATCAAATGTGACAAAGACATTTACAGTATTACAAAAAAAATATTTTAAATAAACGCTCAATGTTTTCTAACTACAGCATTTTAATATATTTGTATAGTTATTGTAGTTTTCTAATAACTTTCTATTCACCAAAAAAATCCTGAAAAAGGAGAATGTCCGGCCATCTGTTTGTGACCTCAAGCTGAAGCGAACTTGGGTTCTGCAGCAGGACAATGATCCCAAACACACCAGCAAGTCCACCTCTGAATGGCTGAAGAAAAACAAAATGAAGACTTTGGAGTGGCCTAGTCAAAGTCCTGACCTGAATCCTATTGAGATGCTGTGGCATGACCTTAAAAAAGCGGTTCATGCTCAAAAACCCTCCAATGTGGCTGAATTACAACAATTCTGCATAGATGAGTGGACTCCACAGCGCTGTAACAGACTCATTGCAAGTTATCGCAAACGCTTGATTGCAGTTGTTGCTGCTAAGGGTGGCCCAACCAGTTATTAGGTTTAGGGGGCAAACACTTTTTTCACACAGGGCCATGTAGTTTTGGATTTTGTTATCTTTGACTAATATTTAAATTTGTTTGATGATCTGAAACATTAAAGTGTGACAAACATGCAAAAAATAAGAAATCAGGAAGGGGGCCAACACTTTTTCACACCACTGTATTAATCAGCACGTTTTCAACATTCTTGATAAAAAAAAAATCTTGAGCACCAAATGATTCCTGAAGGGTCATGTGACTCTGAAGACTGGAGTAAAGGCTACAGAAAATTTAGCTTTAACATCACAGAAATAAATTGTGTTATTTTAAACTATAATATTTCACAATATTAATGTTTTTACTGTATTTTTGATCAGTAGTTCTTTCCAAAAACATTAAAAAAATTCTACACACCCCAAACCTTTTAATAGTATTGTATGTACAGAGGATATTGACATCATCTTAGAAATTTAATTTTGTATGAAAATGTGTCATTGTGTTGGGTATTTCAAAGGTTGGAACACTATATTGACCAATCAGCATCCCGGAATACGCCTTTTAGCATTAGTTGATATGTTATTTCTCAGACATCTTTCTGTGTTGCTTTCACTCATAGGTCGACTGACGTGTCCACCAGAGAAGTTTGACTGTGGCGACTCGACGAGCAAATGCGTGTCATTGTCATGGCGCTGCGATGGTGAACAGGACTGTGAAAATGGAGCAGATGAGGAGCAGTGTGCTGCAGGTGAGTCCAGGGAGGAAAGATAAAGAAAGAGGAAATCGCTAAAAATAGGTCCTGTCTGGATAATGCACAATCAGGCTTCAGTGAGGTGTGTGTGAACTTAATGGAGTGCAGTGGAGGTAGTGATGTGTGTGGGTGTGTGTGTGTGTGTGTGTGTGTGTGTGTGAAGCACATGAAACACATCGATGTTTGATTTTATTGTAGCTGATGGTCCTTTCATCATGTCCTCCTGATGCGCAGGGTAGATATTACAGAGGTCTCTGGATCTTAAAAAAGTGGGCTGGTTTTTATGTTTAGACCCCCAACAGTTAGTTCTTGCATTGATTGATTGTCACAGTGGGTGAGAACGAGAATGTGTGTTATGACTATAAATTAAATAGAAATTCTGCTTACACGCGCACTTTCTCGCACTCCTTTCCTCTTGCTCTCAAACACACAATAATCCGGCTGCCAAATACAGGTATTTCAATTTACTATTAGATTATAAACCAGTATTGATTTTACTTTGCTCTTTGACATGCAACCTATACAAGCAGTGATTCTCCAACTACCTCTTTTATGGAAAGATTATGTATTATACGTTTGGCCTTTTAAAGCCCTTCAGGATCTTTATCATTATAACAAACTCCTGATGTACTGCTCAAGGGCTCATGGATAAAAGCAAACTCAGCATTTTAAATCCACGGCAGAGCAGCTGAGAATTTGCTGGTTTGTTTAATATGTCTAAATAGTTTCTGTACTGCAGACTTAGTCACCTGTTGATTATTATTAATATAACAGTACTAGGTATATTGCTGTTTTGCCCCTTTTCCATGATTCATGTCTATATTGTATGTGTGTGGCATGCAGAGCGATCTAGTTTGTGTGGCACACCTCTGCGCACTCGGTTCGCGCAGTACCTGCCTGTCAACGTATGTATTATGCACGCTGTGCATACAGAGCGAGAATGGCAGACAAACATCAACTACCCGATCTTTCAGTGCTATCAGGCTAAAGTTAGCATTTTCCAAGATCATCTACTGCACCTTTAAATTGATCAAAACTTGCAGTACATTTATAATGTTACAAAAAAATCAGTAAGTTTAATATTTAGACACACTCCCATAGTGGGACTGTCAAGAAACTTTTTAAGAGTGAGACTTTTTAATGACCAATTTATTTATAAATTAATTCCAGGATTTTTAATAAAATGAAGTCATTTGAAATTTTTATATGAAAAAATTTAATTATCATCAAGTCAGAACAAAATTAAGAAGTTTAAATGTGATGCTTTTAGTGCGAAACATTTAAGGGTGTTAAACATTGAAATAATATCAGTTTTTATAAATGCAATTAAATCAATCAATAAATTGCATAGTTTCAATTTTCTTCATGAAATTCAATGTCACAGTGTCCATTGCTCCCTACTCCCTGAGCAGGGGAAATCCGTTGAAGTTTACTTCACTTCGGAACATGGGCTGGAATTGGGAACCGCTGATGTAGCCTATTGTAGTAATGTTGTCTCTGGTATTCTGGTCTGTGAGCGTAAATGCGTTCAGGGGGCGTGGCTTTGGATGGCAAAGTAAGTAAGTAAATCAGTAAGTTTAATATTTAGACACACTCCCATAGTGGGACTGTCATTTTTCAGTAAATGATGAAGAAACTTTTTAAGAGTGAGACTTTTTAATGACCAATTTATTTATAAATTAATTCCAGGATTTTTAATAAAATGAAGTCATTTGAAATTTTTATATGAAAAAATTTAATTATCATCAAGTCAGAACAAAATGAAGAAGTTTAAATGTGATGCTTTTAGTGCGAAACATTTAAGGGTGTTAAACATTGAAATAATATCAGTTTTTATAAATGCAATTAAATCAATCAATAAATTGCATAGTTTCAATTTTCTTCATGAAATTCAATGTGACATTATATTCTGCAGTTCTTCCCTGTTGTACCGAATATCTATACTTTTCAAATTATCACATCGAAATGAGAAGTTCAAATATTGTGACTATACAAATTTTGTAGGGTGCCACAAGTTTGTTAAAATTTCCAAAGGGTGCCGCGACTAAAAAAAAGTTGGGAAACACTGCCCTACAGGATGTAAAGAGATTATTGTGTTTCTGTGTTGACCATTATCTACAAAATGCATATTTCACAATTGAATTGCCCTGTTGTGTTCATAATATGTAATTATCCTGCCTATTATCCAGCCTTGACATGTGTGCTTTTCATATCTCCAAACACAGCCGAGCGAAATCTCTTGTCCTTCTGTCACTACGGGCTTACGCTTTCTCTTATACTTAATCATGTAATAATGAAATACAGGACACGTCTTTCAACTCTACCTCGATCTTTTATGGTTTTTCATTTTCTGACTATTAGCACTTTGATTAGCACCGTGACAGCGCTTGTTTATCTCTGTGGATGTATAGCAGTGATTTGCGTGTTGCACGGTCTTGCGCTGAACTGAAAAATAAGAGCATTAACATCACTGTAATATTTCACCGTGCTACTGATTATAATTGATTTCCTGCTTGATGTCTGGTCCTGATACTTCTATTTTTTTTATTATAGAATAACCTGCAGGACTGCTCCTTTTGATTTTATAATTGAAGATGTTAAGGCACGGTCCATGAATACATATTACTCTTAATGCTATACAGCCCATAACTTTTGAAGAATCATGTTTCACAAAAAATTACATTTCAAATCCTTTTCAAATCAGTCACCTCTACATGAACCAGAAGCTCATCAGTCAGGTGTGACACAGAGGATAGAACAGGGAAGATTAGTACTTTCTGAATACATATTACTCTTAATGCTATACAGCCCATAACTTTTGAAGAATCATGTTTCACAAAAAATTACATTTCAAATCAGTCACCTCTACATGAACCAGAAGCTCATCAGTCAGGTGTGACACAGAGGATAGAACAGGGAAGATTAGTACTTTTTGGATTTTGTTCATTTATTATGTAAAATGTTTAGCCAAAACCTTTGTGGTTTTGCATCTTTAAAATTATGTATTTGATTTATTGTAAATGCATATAACTACCATTTCTTTACCTCTACCGTTTTTATCACTACATTTGAAAACATTCATATTTTTGTGGAAACCATGATGCATCTTTTTATTCAGGATTCTTTGAATATAAAAGTCAGAACAACAGCATTTATTTTAAATAGAAATCTTTTGTAACTTTATTAATGTTTTTACTGTAACTCTTGTTTAATTTAATCTTTGCTAAATAAAAGTGTTAATTCTTGTAATAAAAAAACACTTACTTTTTAAGTGTAGTGTAAATAAATGTATAAACTGAATTTCAGTTAAAATTATGGTTCTAAAACCTAAAATGACATAGTAATTTAAATATTTTTACTTACATTTTTACACTTTTACACAAACTCATTTTAAGGCATTGGTTTTTAATATTTAATAATTATCCTCAGTATAACAATGTGTAATGGTGACAATCAACAAACATTATTATGTAATAAGATGGGTTTAAGATCACTGCACAACAACAACAACATAACAACAGTAAAAATAAAGTCAGCAAGCAGCAAAACATTAACAGCATAATTTATTCATGCTGCTTCATTGTTCTTCTTAGTACCTTGGATAAAAGCTAATATCCTTTTTACAGAGCATTATACATAATGCTAAAAACATAATACTGTTTTAGTGCTTTCATTTGCTGAATGGGGCAGCAGTGCACTTTTAGTGGGTTTACCAGACTCCACACATACATCTAAAACCTGCTGCATCCACAAAGCCCTTTCCAGTGTACTAAAGGTTGGAAGATTTACATAAAACATATCTTGGGGAGTCACAGACATGAATAATATACCTATTTTTGTAGAAGAAAGGCACTATTTGCCCTCAAACTCAGCTGTGTCCTTTTGCTCTCTCTCTCTCTCTCTCTCGCTCTCTCTCTTTCTCTCTCTCTTTTCCCCTCTATTACCTTAATCTCCAGATACACTGCGAAGGAAGCTTTTAAGGATAAATTATTATCGGTAATCTGCATTAAAAATGCACAATCAAAGTGCCCTTTGCTCTTGTGGAAGCTCTATGAAGAAAGTTTAAAATGTTTTCATTACTGAAACTGCGTTTCGGCAGAGAGAGGAACCCCTGCTAAGGCAGAGCTGTGCCGTTTAGCTCATTATGAGGGAGAAGTTTCATGACGCGAGGGGGAAAAAAGCATTCAAGCCTCAAACGTGTGAACTTAAATTGCTGGATGCATATATTCTTAATAATTAATGTGCATTTTGTGTTTAGATGGTGCAGTGCCATACAAACAATTTTGACTTAAAAAATTCTTTATATTATTCACATTTTTTTAAATTTTAAAACTTTAAACTCTAAACACAAAAGAAGATATTTTGAAGCTTGGAAGAGCCAGGACATTTAAAAAAATATATATAACTCCAGTTGTATGCGTCTGAAAGAAGAAAGTCATATGCACCTAAGATAGCTTCAGGGTGAGTAAATCATGGGGTAATTTTATTTTTCAGGTGAACTGTGCCTTTAATGCTCTTGCTGAGCCATAATGTTTTAGGTCACCTCTAGAGCACAGGACTGGTGGGAAAATCTGGTGTCAAAATGTGCGTCAATAAATTCAAGTAATGTCCCTCGGTTGATTTGTTAGCACTGCACCTGGACAAGAAAAGCAGATATCTCGCAAGCTGTCAGTTTCCAAAAGTGCCACTAAATGTTCATTTTGGTTACTACTGCACCGAGTAAAGGGTCACAGGGTGTGATTGTCATTCTTGTGGACAGAACAAGATTAAGCTCTCAAACAAAAGAGTGACAACCGTATTTATCTGCAGTGTGTACATGGCAATTAAAAATGGATGACTTCCAGTCACTTTGTCACTGCAAATGTGTAAACATGTCTTTAAGCTATATCTGCTTTTTGTAAGAATAAAGATCTTTTTATTGGTGCCTTTCAGCTCCTTTTATGCTGGAGTGTTTGTTTTATGCTGTAATATAATTGGATTTTAATTATCACCGTTAG